AAAGGGGCGAGCGCCACGTGAGTGTTCTCACCTCCACCAAAGGGGCGAGCCTGTCTCCAGGAATCCAGACTGCTGTCTCAGACTGACTGCTCCAGACTGCAACCTCAGACTACAGCTGAGCTCCTGACTCTTCCCACCTTATATTCCTCTCCCCCCTCCCTTCCATCTCCACCTCCCTGGTGCTGGGATTAAAGGTTTGTGACTCCCAAATCCTGGGACTAAAGGTGTGTGCCACTACTGCCTGGCCTCTAGTGGTTTAGCTCTGCACTCTGATCTTTAGGCAAGTTTTATTTGTAAAAACACAAACAAAATGTGGCTACACAAATGTGGGCGTGGACGTCTGTAATCCCCCTGGAAGACCGCAATGGTAACTATTATCTCCGCCACACCACCGCAGGCTGGTTTGCTACCTGGAGACCCTATACAAATCTTCTACTTATTCTTCACTGAACACCTGTTACGAGTTGTGCAATCTTGTTTGTTTGTTTGAAACTTGTCTTTCAAACCTTGTACCCCCGGCTGGCCTCCAAGGCTTGGATCAGTCTCCTGGCAAACTTGAGTGCTGGCATTACAAGCATGTGTCACCATGCCCTAACCTCTATTCCAATTTTATAACACTTGTAGTTCATTTATTAACAACACAACAAAAAAGTTCCAACCAGCTGGGTTTGATGATTTGAAGACGAAGTGGGACCTGGGGTGAGAGTTTGGAACAGAAAATGACCAATTTGACAGCGAAAAAGAACCGGGGGAGGGCGTGTAAGAAGGAGTGGGGCTGTCTGGATAGAGAGAGATTTGAGGGCACTGTGGAGGTTCTGGAGGGAGTCCTCGGTGGGGTAAGCCTGTCCTAGGCTGAGGTGGGTGACCTCCTGCGGAAGGATCGCGATGAGGCTGTTCAATTCGGCAAGTGCCCACTGCACACACTACTGGAACCCAGATTTCCAGGCTGTGTGACCTTGAGTGAATTTCACCCCCTCTCTGGGCATCCTTTCTTCCTGGAAGAAATAAGATGAGAGCCGCCTTCTCCCGGGGACTGATACAAAACTTAGCTCCTGAGAGGGTTCGAGTCCCTCCCTGACGGTCCATCCTGACACCAACTGGAGTCCCGCCTCTGTCGGGCAAGACTTCCGTTTCCCGGTCTGCAAGAAGCAGCGGTTGGACTTACCCGGCGGTACCAGGTTCGAGTCCAGCCAACCCCTCAACAGGTGCCTTCTGCGTACTTTCGTCACTAGACCCTCGGAGGTTCCAGGCTGAGTCACCGTTTTGCCCGCTTTGGACACGTGGTCCGCGCCCCTTACGTGTCCGCCCCTCCCTCCCGAGCAAGCCAATCCGCCCTGCGCCTCGGCTGTGGTCTGCGAAGGGCGGGGCGACTAAGGCGAGTCCGTTTCTGGAATATGATTGGTCTGCAAAAGCGCAATGGGGCGGGAAGATAGAGTACCGGACCAATGGAGAGCCGATAAGGGCGTGAGTGGCGGTGAGGGCTGATTCTAACAGGGAATGTGGGTGGAGACGCGCTAGGTGGCCCTTCCCAGGCTACCGGAAGATCTGGAGTTCCAAACAGGCTTTCCTATTACATGCTAAGGTGGTAGCACCTGCATGTAATCCTAGCTCTGGAGGGGCTGAGGCAGGAGGATGCCAGTTCAAGATCATTGTTGGGCTACATAGTGAGAGCCTGACACACACACACACACACACACACACACACACACACACTAACGCACACTGCAGAATTAATAACAGGTGACACAGAATAAATAATTTAAAAAATTAAATAACTACAACGTAGGGAAACCCGGGAAGTATTTGCTTATTCTGACCCCTGACTTGTCTCCGGCTCACTCCACTGCATGAACCTCAGCATTCCGTAGTCGGCAAAGTCAGCCATTTTTGTTTCCTGGAGTCATTTGGGCCTCAATTTCCCCTAAATTAATTCTGGACCTCGAGCAAAGAGGAAGCTCTGGGGCGATGTGAGCCTGGGGGTGAAGCACTTGACCCACACCTGGAGGTGCAGGCACCCCTCTCAGAGACCAGACCCCTCTTCTTTCAACAACCCGCAAACTCCTCCGCAAGTCTTCTTCTGAAGGCCCTCGACATTAATTGTTGAGGTTGACTCTGCGCCTGGCCTGGCCTTGCTATAAAGGCTTTTGTTCCCTTAATTGGCTATCTCCGGGAGCTTTTCTCTGTCTTCCCACCCACGCCATCCGTTTTGTATCCCAGGTCCAACTATGTGATACCCAGGAAGCCTGCTCCCTCCCTGCCTGCACTTTACCTTTCTATATTAGCCCCTCAACCAGCAAGCCAGTGTCCAGACTCTACCCATCTATCTGGTGAGACAGGGGAAGGGTGTGATGGCTTGAAAGAAAATGGCCCCCATAAGGAGTGGCATTACCCTTTCTGAGGAGTAGATAGGGGATTGAGGGGGGGAGGGGGGAGGGAGGAGAAACTGTGGTTGGTATGTAAAATGAAAAAAAAAAAAAACCTGGCCCAAATAAATGTGTCACAGAACATGGCTGTAATTTCAACACTTAGACACCAAGGCAGGAGGACTATTTGGAATATGACGCCAGCCTAGGCTACACACCAAGATCCTGTCTCAATCTGAACAATGAAGTAAACAACAAGAAAGCAAAACACTGTGTAGATGCATTCTGAAAAGAAAACAGAGGGGAAGCGATCACACAGTAAAAACCAGGCATCAGGCTGAACATCCAGCTGAAGAAATGTCCAGGCCCCACAGGTAGCCAGTGAATATGACCTTTGGGAGCTTGAGCTCAGAAATGTTTCTCTTTCCTTACTTTTTTGTTTTTATTTATTTATTTATTTATTTATTTATTTATTTATTTGCTTGTTGTTTTGTTTTTAGAGACAGGGTTTTTCTGTAACTTTGGAGCCTGTCCTGGAACTAGCTCTTGTAGACTAGGCTGGCCTTGAATTTACAGAGATCCACCTGCCTCTGCCTCCCCAGTGCTGGGATTAAAGGCAGCGTGCACCACCACCGCCTGGCTCTTTCCTTACTATTATCCAGTGGTGAGGATTAGCTCCTTCCTGATCCTCTTGCCTCTGCCTCCTAAGTGGTAAAATTGTGGGTGTGGGGCCTGGAGAGATGGCTAAGCATTGGCTGCTCTGCCCAGAGGTACTGAGTTCAATTCCCAGCAACCACATGATGGCTCACAACCATCTATAATGGGATCTGGTGCCCTCTTCTGGCCTGCAGGTATATATGCAGACAGAATGCTGTATACATAAGTAAATAAATCTTTTAAAAAACTATAGATGTGGGCCACTATGCCCAACTAAGAGTCTGTTTTCCTTACCAACTGTCAGTCCCCAGAGATCGTTGATGAGGTGATGGTGAGGATGAAGGTGATGACAACGGTAGTTAGGGTAATGGTTGTGACAGTGGTGACGATTGTTGCATGAATTTTGGGGGGGATGTGGGAGAGATAAACACCTGCTCCCCCTTCCCAAATAAGGCTCCAAAGAAAGACTAAGTAAGAATTTCACAGATTCAACATGGTGAGTCAATCTACTTATGCAGCAGAGCGAGGGGTCCTTGCAGGACCTCAGGTGATCCCAAACAGCCTCCCCGTCACCAAGTCACCCCAGAACCAATGACGACTTCCCCATGGCTGCATAGGTGAACTTTCCCTTCACTTACCTTCCACGGGTTTGGTCTGTCATCTCCTGAGACCAGAGACCACACGACAACATGAAGTTGTGGCAGAAACATACGACTGAGAAAGAAACACTGAAACGGAACTGGGCTGCTCTTCAGACGTTTTGGTTGCCCGCTCTCTTTGTACTTTGGGGCCTGTTGGCTCCCTCTCCTCACATGGCACAGTTCAGTCTGGCCATGTCCACTCTGGACTTTCCCAGATGTTCCTGCGTCTGGCCATGCTCTCCTACATCTCTGTAATAAACCTTCCCTCCACCATACCTAAGAGCAGTCATTTCCTTTCCTTTCCCTTTCTATTTTCCTTTTCATTCAGTGGAGATGGTGATGATGGTGATGGTAGTGGTGGTGGTGGTGGTGGTGGTAGTGGTGATGGTGGTGGTGGAAGATGGTAGTAATGGTGATACTGATGATGGTGATGATGATAGTGATGGTGGAGTAATGACGGTAATGATGATGATAGTGTTGGTGGTGATGGTGATGATGGAGGAATGATGCTGGTGATGGTAGTGCTGATGGTGATTAGTAGTGCTGATGTCAATATTAGTGATGATGATGGTGGTGGTGATGGTGGTGATGGTAGTGTTGATGGTGATGGTGCTGATATTGATATTGGTGATGATGATGGTGGTGATGGTGATGATGGTGATGGTGCTGATGTTGATATTGGTGATGATGATGGTAGTGGTGATGGTGGTGATGCTAGTGCTGATGGTGATGGTGCTGATGTTGATATTAGTGATGATGATGATGATGATGGTGATGGTGCTGATGTTGATATTGGTGATGATGATGATGGTGATGATAGTGATGGTGCTGATGTTGATATTGGTGATGATGGTGATGATGGTGATGATGATAGTGATGGTGCTGATGTTGATATTGGTGATAGTGATCATGGTGGTGATGATTATAGTGATGGAGGTGATTATGGTGATTGCTATAGCACTGGTGGTGATGATGGTGATATAGTGGTACCTACAGTAGTGTGATAGTTACCATGAGTCAGACGTAGGACTAAGCACTTTAACATTGATTTATAATGAGTTAGCACTCCCTCACGATGGGTACCAGCTCCATAAGCTCCCCACTAAC